TGGACATAAAGTCTTCTGTTATTTAAAAAAATGTATTTTGGTAAAATAAATGAGCCAATTTGAACCAAAAATGTTAACTAGCAAATGGCACAGATGGCAAAATCACGGACATGTATGCAAATGACTACAGCTTAGGGAACGCTGTGGTAGAATGTGATATTTCATCTTCACTGTTTTTAAACTTTATTCCAGGATCTATCTCTTGGTGGGGAAATGCCTGTTACATAGTTTTAAATGACTGGCCTATGTATCAATAAAGAAAAAGAGGATGATAAGAAAAATAAGACAAAGGAGAAAAGAATGAATGACTGGATACTTTAAGCACATCAGTTTGGCTTGTTTACTTTTCAGGGTTCACATGGTGTTGACCTTAAATAGGGAGGAATTCAGAGCACCAGGGCCAAAAAAATAAATAGAAAGGAGCCTAGAGAATTTAAAAATAAAGTCAGGAAGTAACCAAATGAAACAACTGGGAAAATAGAACAAACATATATAGTGATAAATTATCTGACTCACAAATATTCAGCAGGTAAGAGAAACCTAAACATTCCAAGGAAAGACATGCTGATGATGCCAGGATCTGTCTAGAATGTTATGGCAGAGACAAAATTAACAAAGATGGCCCATCAGCTCTCAGGCATATCACCCCAATTCCCTTTCCTTAGCCTCTGAATGTCTGCCCCTCCCCTACCAACCCCACCACCGCCACTCCAACAAGGCAGCAAGACATTTCAAATTTGGAGTCGTAATCATATTTCAAATTAATCATGAAGATCAAAATGTCCCTCTTCTTATTTTTGCACAGTCATTGTCTCCTCATCCTGGTATTGGGCAATACAAACCAAACAAACACTTGGAGAGCATTTATTTTCAGGTATTGGTCGCTTTGTTCTGCACTGCCAATGCCTGCCACTGGGGGCTCCAGAGTGTTTTTGGCATCTATCCCTCCCTTCTATCAGGCTGACCAAAGCGGCCTTCATTAAGACACTATTATCTCTCATCTTGACTTGTTACTCTGCAGACTCTGTGACCCCTTCCAGACAACATCAGTACATATGGCCAAGTTGTTTTGTTGTGGTGGTCCACTCCCTCTCCTTTTCGGACCCTAACAGTGATTTCTCATAAAACTAAATGTCTCCTGATGAATAAAACCCCCTTACCAGAGACAGTACTACAGTATTCTCATCCACCACATTTTTTTTCTAAGTAAACATATTTCTATTACAGAGAAATTGTTGAATGTAGTTGAAATAATTTGGGTTATAAAGTTAAAAGTCTTAAACTCTCTTCTTGCTTGTTCTACTTACTTGTTCTGTGATTGGGATATTACTAACTTCTTCCTGTTTGAAAGCATTATTGCATTTTGCCGGTAGAGAGCTTTATACTACATGTGATTGCTTTTAATATGTGTATATATGTGTCTGATTTATAAATAAATCATGGGCAGTATAAAGCTTTCTACAAACATAAGCCATTTATTTAGCACTCGGTTATTTGCTGCCTTATATTTGTTCCCCAAATGTTTCTTGTGTATTTTCTCCTCTCCAAAACTGATTTCAAGCTCATGTGAGGCCGCCTCCATCACAGACATTATTTGTATCTTCTTCAGTGCCTGTGGTGCTTGATTAACAGAGTCAACTGCTTTGTCCCATTATTGGCCCAGTAGGTTCCCTTGACCTTCAACTCATCATTCTCTTCCCCTCCTTTAACAAACCTTCCTTGATCTCCTGAAAGAGTGCTGTTGGTTTTTCTAGCATACTATCTCCTATGCATTGAAAATTGCAGTGTTGGGGCGCCTGGGTGACGCAGTCGGTTAAGCGTCCGACTTCAGCCAGGTCACGATCTCGCGGTCCGTGAGTTCGAGCCCCGCGTCAGGCTCTGGGCTGATGGCTCGGAGTCTGGACCCTGTTTCCGATTCTGTGTCTCCCTCTCTCTCTGCCCCTTCCCCGTTCATGCTCTGTCTCTCTCTGTCCCAAAAAAATAAATAAACGTTGAAAAAAAAAAAAAAAGAAAATTGCAGTGTTGATATAATTATAATTTGAGAATGGTTTTAGTATAGACAGAACATGGAAACAATGATGACAGATCCCCCAGAAAACTAAGAAATGATGATATCACAACATATACAGAAAAAGACTCTGACAAATGAAGAAAAAAAGAAATGTCTAAGGGCCAAAATCTATCTATGTTCACAAACATCCAGGCTGGAGTTGCCCAAACTCCTGTGCTGAATGTCTGATTAATGGGCCTATAAGGATATTTATATATCATTCATATATGAAATCATATATGTTATAAAAGCATATATATTTCTGTCCCCAGTCACCTTAGTGAGAGGAGCTGCCACCATGTCCCCCCACCTGCAATGGATGGTCGTGCGGAATTGATCCTGATCAAAAGGGACAAGCAGACATCAAGCACCAAGCCCAACAGTCTTGCAACTCTTTCCACTACAATGGCCTGGTTTACCACGAGACTGCAGGCATGGATCCAGAGGCCTACAGCAAAAATGTAATGATGGTGACAAAGCGGAGATCTGACCAGTGAAAACCTACCACCTCCTACGTGCATACCAACATCAACAAGAATGCCCTGGCCACCCTTAGCAGCATCAGGCACAGGATCCGCAAGAACATGGACTGCCCAGGTCTGTTCATGGCTGCCATTTGCAGAGCCAGCGCCATCCTGCACAGCCAGAAGCCTATGATGGTGAAGAGGAATCAGGCTGCCCCACCAAGAGCTCCTGAGCATCTGCCCCCTACCTCCAAAGCAACAAAGATGTCAATCACTTAAAAAACAAACAAACAAAAACAAACAAAAAAAAAACTTAAGAATCGTAAAATTAACAAACTGGCTTTGATTTTGGCCTTGACAAGAGATTAACTTCAGTTTTCAAAGTACTTTTAATATAGCATGAAATTTTGGGACAATCCAACATGAAATATCAGGCCTGTACAAGCCTTTTATTTCTGGTTAATAACTGGCATGTTGGCTTATACAGAACCTCTGGTAAGCATAATTTTGATATTCTCAAAGACCAAGCTGTAGATCACTTGATGGGAGTTTCTGTACTTACAAAACACTGAACTAGAAAGTATCATAATGATTTTATCAAAGTAACATCACCCTATGGGGCCATGCCTGGGGTACAGTCAATCAGCATCCTCCTCCAAGGGAACCCTCTGTCATCTCCCTCAAAGCAGTTATCATGGGCTGGGTTTACATGGTTCAAATTACAGCAGGTGTTCTATGAATTAACTTTTTTTTTTAATTAATCATTAAAACTCAAGTTCCTGAGCCATGTCCTTCAACAGCCTAGACAAACGGAAACCAAAGAGGCTTGTTACAGTGAAAACCAAAGAAAAAAAAAAAAGACTGAGGTCTAAATTTTCTCAAACTTAAATGTATGCTTGAGTCAGGAGGCCAATTGTGGTTAAGGAAATCTGAGGTGGGGCTTGAATAGCTGTGTCTCTAACAAGCACCAGGTGATGGCAGCACTTTTAAGTCCAAGAACCTTGGCGTAGCAAGGTCAGAGAATTGAAGTCCAGGTGTCATATGAAGTTTGGCTTTCTCAGTAACTCAGCCAGAGAGCATCAAAGTAAAATTATCATAGTGAAGAGGTGATACAACGTGTTTTGTATACTTTTTTGTTGTTTACTGGGTATTAGGTTTACAGGAGAATACTTTTCTACTGTATCCTTTATTATCAGGCCGCAAGAGTGGGAGCAAGTGGTTTATCAGTCTCTTGACAGGTTTTATATGCCTAAGCTGTGGGTTTGGCTCCGGAGGCAGAGCTACCAGCCCCCTGAGCGACACCAAGAGTCAGGACCAGGTAGAATGAGGCACCTTAATTTGAAATTTACTGTGTGTCTTGGGGAAGAGTCCAAGGTGACTAAAGGAACCATGGATTTCAGGATATGCAGCTACCTCCATTTCCTGTCCACACCTACCCCTATAATTTTCAACAGTAAAGTTAAGCCTCCTGTAAGAGGCAACAGCCACAGGAAAAGTGAAGGTAAAAAAAAAAAAAAAAAGAAGCAACTAGATGATGCACCGAGGTAGAGGTGGGTTTGGAGGGTTTCCTTGTTCATTTTTGCCTTCTTGGTAGAATTGTCTTATTTAATTGTTAAATTCCTGATTTATTATCAAGTTCAGTATTTTTCCATCTACAGGTTGCAGACCATTGGTGAACCCTGAAATCCTTCATTGTCAGGGGTCAGAGCCAGGCTGTTTTAAAACTGCCACAGGCATATCAAAGTTCAAAGGGGAAGGATCATTTAATCAGACTTCTCAGTTACATGCAAATGAGTTAAATTATAAAGTGCATTTCTTACTGGGAGTCAGGATCAAAAATTTGAAAAACACTCGACTATAGTTGGCTTTATGATAGAGGAGGGTTTTTTAAAGCCTTCACATTGTATCTAATCTATTTATTTTTATTATATTCACCTGGCATTGCCTTAATGAGATGAGGTCAAAGTAAGTAGCCACTTCGGTTATTTTTCTGCCCTTTCCACTGTAAATATCTTGAACTCGTGTAGCAAGTTTAATCCATACACATAATATTAATCCCCTTCAGGTTATACATCATGTTAATAGAGCACGTTTAATCTACACTCTGAACTATTCCTGGATGGTATTTAACCCACTCCTCTACATTCACCCAGTTACTGGGAGCACTCACTCCCCAGCTTTCACCCTACAAGGGCACCATCTTCTGGTGAAAAATTTTGTCAGGAGAATGTTAAAGAGCTCTCGAAACAGTCCTGATCTTCCTAGCGAAGATTGCAATAGGCATCATAAATACATCGAAATTCTTTAGCACTCTGTTTTATCCAGGAGTCTCGTTCCGTTCCCCATCTGAGAAGGGTCTTTCTATTCCTTAGCAGTGAAAAGACCCCATCTGTCCTTCCTGGTTTTCCGTTAAACTGAGCTGGTTTCAAGTTTCAGCTCCTCCTTGAATTCCAGCCTGCTGAGACTTCCCTCTAGAATCATCCAAAATGGAGCCTCTTACAGCTTACCCTTTAAGATGTTCGGGGCCGAAAGCAAAGGTATTTGCAGTTTTACTGTCTATGGTTCTATGCACAGTAATGTTATTTCTTCTACAACTAAAATTCCTAAAACCTAAAATCAACAGCTTTTATGCCTTTGAAGTGAAAGATGCAAAAGGAAGAACGGTTTCTCTGGAAAAGTTTAAAGGCAAAGTAAGTTGTATCTTCTGTTTTTTGTTGTTTTTTTTTCCTACTGCTTGTTGATTTCTCTGTTTACTTTAATGGAATCAATTTTTCATTGATAAAGGGTCATAAGTTATAATTTAGTTTTCAAAGTAATGTAATTAGTATATCACTCTGACCATCAGAGTTCTCATCGTGTATATATACAGTACTTCTAATTGAAAAGCTGATTATCCTGTTTTCAGAGGCATGCTAAATTAACACTGTAAGTTGTTTAGGAAATTTTTATAATTAGTAATGTGAATATGGAGACATTAAAAAATACTACCTCCATAAACTAGCAACATTAAAAAGCACTCTTATAATGATCATATTTTCTTTTATCTTAAACTGTTGTACCTGATGCTTTTTTAATGGTAGTGATTTTTCAGAGTCTTAACTCATGCATCCAGGTTATGATTTTCAACAAAATTGGGTATGTCTAAAAATATAAAATAACCATCAGCTTCAAAATGGTTTAGGATTTTAACTACTTGCAGAATATTTTCTTTAAATCTTTTTATTTGCTTCACTTTCCGGTTGGATTTTTTTCTTTTTCCGGGAGGTTGCACTAGTTGTAAACGTGGCTAGTGACTGCCAACTCACAGACAGAAATTACTTAGCACTGCAGGAACTGCACAAAGAGTTTGGACCATTCCACTTCAGCGTCTTGGCTTTTCCGTGCAATCAGTTTGGAGAATCGGAGCCCCGCCCCAGCAAGGAAGTTGTATCTTTTGCAAGAAATAACTACGGCGTGACATTCCCCATCTTCCACAAGATTAAGATTCTAGGATCTGAAGCAGAACCTGCATTCAGATTTCTTGTTGGTAAATATCTACTTTGCCTCATCAAGTTAATGTTTTCAATTGCTTTTCATTTTTAAAACAAATGTACCAGGACCGTACTTTTTCTATTTCATGTGAAATGCTTTAAGTGGGAAAGTTTGGTAAAACCATCAGAAAGCCAGAATCTCATCCTTGGTGACTTTCTAGAAGTTATGCTTCTCTGAAATCAATGTTTTAACTTCTTGAATGGCAAAATAAGTCGACTCCGGTGTATTCTTTTCCTTATGATCACTTTCCTGAAGAATTTACCTGAAATGTGGTCATGGCTATCTTCACAAAATACCTTAATTCCTCTCTTATTTAACTGGCACTTGGGGAAATGTCCCTCCCCATTACCAATGCTATCCATGTCTCATGAATATTGCTGGGCATTATTAGACATATCTTTGTGATTAATTTTAAGTTCCCTTGTCTGAGATATTGTCTTCATGGATGAATAATATCTCTGTTTTTGCTAAAATTCAAAACAGAATATAAGAATTTTTTTTTTTTTTTGAGGACGATAGTGTTACGTTGTCTCTAAAATTAGGCTAGCTACAGAAATCTGTTTAAAGATTTTCCTGGGTCAGTCAGCATAACAGTAGTAAAGTATAGTGACTAGGGAAATAGGTTTTAGCCGCAACCTACCTGGATTCAAGTCCCTGCTCTGTTAGTTTTGCTGTGTGGCTTCAGCTACATGACTTAACTTCTCTGTGCCTTCTTCCTCACTTGTAAAGTAAGATTATCAATATAAGATAATTTGGAGGATTAAGTGTGTTAATAGACGTAAAGTATTTATATGTTTCTTACACTGTGCCTAACACTATTCTAAAGAGCATTCAGGGACGCCTGGGTGGCTCAGTAGGCTAAGCAGCCAACTTCAGCTCAGGCTCTGTGCTGACAGCTGAGAGCCTGGAGCCTACTTTAGATTCTGTGTCTCCCTCTCTCTCTGCCCCTGTCCCCTTCATGCTCTGTCTCTCTCTCTCTCAAAAATGAATAAAGATTTAAAAAAAATTTTTAAATCATAATAGATAAAAAGCAAAGGACATTCAGTTAATGTCCTCTCATCTGACTTATACAGATGATACCCTCAGTCCCTATTCTCACTGCAGATAATTTGAGTTTTGATAAAACTGTAACCTCAGTCAGGCAATCAAGCTTCCAGTCTAGTAAGCCACTTAATGATGTTCTACAAAATTTAAGTGTGAAATCAGAATCTTTTTAAAACATTAAATTTCTGGGGAAAATCAACATAATGTTCCACCTACCCTGTGTAATCAAAAAAGTAAGTGATTTAAGGTTTCAATGAAGTTGGGGGCGCCTGGGTGGCGCAGTCGGTTAAGCATCCGACTTCAGCCAGGTCACGATCTCGCGGTCCGTGAGTTCGAGCCCCGCGTCGGGCTCTGGGCTGATGGCTCAGAGCCTGGAGCCTGTTTCCAATTCTGTGTCTCCCTCTCTCTCTGCCCCTCGCCCGTTCATGCTCTGTCTCTATCTGTCCCAAAAATAAATAAACGTTGAAAAAAAAAATTTTTTTTTTTAAATAAATAAATAAAATAAAAAAAAATTAAAAAAAAAAAAAAAAGGTTTCAATGAAGTTAGATGAAGCTCCAGAGATGAAGACTATAAGATCATAGCCAAATGGAAATGAGTTTTTTAAAACTAGCCAAAATTGACAGTAACTGATCATGTGATCACAGTGTACATGTGTGCAGGTGTCACTAAACAGGGCATCTGGGTGGGGAGGCAAATGCGGGCTGAAGCTCAGCCATAGCAAGGCATGTGCTGGGGGACTGTACCGGCCTGGAAGAGTGCCTTTTCCTAACTCGCAAAGATGTTTACATCAGGTAGACAGAGCTCTGCCCTGGAGGGCATTATCTTTAGAGACACATTTTCCATTATAGAAAAGAGCAATTTTGCAAAATGATGTTAAGATGGCTTTCATGTAATAATAGGATGCTCACACGGAGTCCTTGATGTTTGCTCTAGTCAAAAATATTTTTCTCTAATAATGACATAAATTGAAATGTTTGGCACAGTACTCCAAATAAAACACATATAAGTAATCAGGCTACTTTTTATTTTTATATCTTAATTTTAACCTATGCTCCCTCACTGCTTCTTTCTCCCAGCCCAAAGCAAAGCATTCCACACCTTCAAAACTCTAGACAGTGTGTTCCTTCTACCTATTTCATCGCTATTTTTGAAAGAATAGTTAATACTTACAATTTCTGCCTCCCCGTCTCAATTACCTTCTTAGATGACTGTGTCTGGCTTCTTGCTCCATGAATCTCTTGAACCTAGCAGGTACCAGTGACTGCTACTCTGGGCCCTTCTCTTTCTTCTTTTCAGGTTCCTCTTTTCCATCCACCCTTAACTGTGCTGATTCTCAGGATTGTGCCACGGCCCACTGGAGCTCTTCTTATTCTATCCCCTTTCCCTGACTGAGCTCTCTCTCCTAAGCCCCAAAGCCTTATATTCACCTGCCTCCTCTGACAGAATGTCCCACATACACCTGAATCCCCTCCTGTAAAAAAATGAATTTGTCATCTTCCTCCTAAAATCTGCTTGGAGTAGGAAGTAGGAGTGGGAAGTATAGGAGTAGAAGGTCTAGATATCAGGGCTGGCTCTACCGCTCATTAGCCACAAGACCTCGAGTCTAAGACTCCATTTTTCTCCTCTACAAAATGGGGTTAATGATAATACCCATTTCACAGGGTTGCTGTAAAGATTCAACAAAAGGATCCATTTAAAGCAATGAGCATACATTCCTGGGCACATAGTAGACACTAGATACATTTTAAGTAGTTGTTTATATTTTTTTCACATGTTAGTCAATAATGAACATCAATTCTGGATAATGTAAATGGAAAAAACATTACATTTCTTACATACATTAAGATGGTTCAAAAGGACCACATAATTTCTCAATATGATTTAATACTGTATGTTAACTAACTAGAATTAAAATAAAAACTTACAAAAAAAATAATGTGATTTAGAATTCCTTTCTGTTTTCCTCTACATAATACGTAACAATACTAAAAACATAGGTATATTTAATATGTAAAGAATTCCGTACAGGCCATTACCAAGGACCATAGAGTATCATTCTATCTTTAAAAATGTTAAGAAACTGAAAGTTGTGAGCTAGGGGCGCCTGGGTGGCGCAGTCGGTTAAGCGTCCGACTTCAGCCAGGTCACGATCTCGCGGTCCGTGAGTTCGAGCCCCGCGTCGGGCTCTGGGCTGATGGCTCAGAGCCTGGAGCCTGTTTCCGATTCTGTGTCTCCCTCTCTCTCTGCCCCTCCCCCGTTCATGCTCTGTCTCTCTCTGTCCCAAAAATAAATAAAAACGTTGAAAAAAAAAAAAAAAAAAAAAAAAAAAAAAAAAAAAAAGAAAGTTGTGAGCTAGTGACAAGGTAAATTTTTTGTTGCTGTTTTTTTTAGTTTTCTTAATGTGTATTATTTTTGAGACAGACAGAGAGAGAGAGAGAAACACAGAACATGAGCAGGGGAGGGGCAGAGAGAGGGAGACACAGAGTTTGAAGCAGGCTCCAGGCTCTGAGCTCTCAACACAAAGCCTGACGTGTGGCTCGAACTCACGAACTGTGAGCTCATGACCTGAGCTGAAGTCAGACACTTAGCTGACTGAGCCACCCAGACGCCCCAACTTTTTTGTTATTTTATTTAGATCAAGAAATCCAGAATAAACCACTTTGTTTCATGATTCCGGACCAGTAGAATCATCAGTGAAGTCACCAAATGTACAGAAATATGGTTACTTGAAGCTTGAGTTTTGCCTTGTTTGGGTGTTTTATTTTTTTGTTTTGTTTTGCTTTTGACATGATAATCTTAGAACTTGATTCTTAAGTTATCACTTACATAGATACTAATAGAAATGAAAATCTTGATAAAAAATAAAATTATGCTTATGAAAATATATTCTGGTACTTTAGATTCTTCAAAGAAAGAACCAAGGTGGAATTTTTGGAAGTATCTGGTCAACCCTGAGGGTCAAGTTGTGAAAACCTGGAGGCCAGAGGAACCCATTGAAGTCATCAGGCCTGAGATAGCAGCTCTGATTAGACAAATGATCATAAAAAAGAAAGAGGACCTATGAAAATGCCAGTGAGTCATTCAAATGCAGTAGTCGGAATATAGAAATGTCAAGGGGAGGGGGGGTTTGGTCTCATTTTAAATACTCTGACAATTAAATACGGCACTGATGGATTTTTCATTTGTTTGTTTTTATGATACCTTGCCAGTGGGTGGTAATGAATAATGCCCCCAGGACAGAGATGTTACCCAAAACAAAAATAAAGAGTATCTAAAGAATCAAAATGAAATATACTAAGTATTTCATCAGATCACACTAAATAATTCAAAATACAGTCATCAATGTGCTTCAATATCCTGTTGTTCGACTTGACATTTTTCAGGATTGTACTTAATGGAAATGCCAATCCACTAGACCTCTGTTTGAATTCAAGACACTGTGTGTTACTGAATTTTCTGGATTAACTAACTGTAAATGGCTATTTTTATGTAATAAAATAAAAAATAAACACTGAAAAAATGTTAAATATAGAGAGAGATTCAAATCATTATGTACTTCTGTTTCAGGCACAGGAATTTTGTTTCTTTAGTTGTTTTTTTTCTGTTTTCTTTTTTAAGTACAGGTTCATAGTATGTTTTACTGTATCTGCCCAAATAGTCATTTATAAATGACACTATCCTAACATTTGAAAAACCTTCATCATTGTCAATATTTCTCTATTATTTTCCAGAAGAAACTCAAATTTTATAAATAGAATATTAATTGCTGAGTAAAAATCCAAAGAGTAAGAAAAAGGCTATGAGTATATGATTATTTAGCTCAATTCTTTATATATTAATACTGGTTGCTAATTTATTCAGATTAGATTAACATTTTGGAAAGAATTCAGTGCTGCATCGTTCTGATGGCTAAAATAATAAGAATCAACTCTAAATAGTCAAAGGTCTGAAGGTAAAAAAGGGAGGGACTAATTACACGTCTTAAGCATCAGCAATCACTAAACCTTTTGACAGAGTCACAACATGCTCTTTCTCCTTTTTCATAACCTTTATATTCTGTCCATCTTCTCATTATTGGCTGATAAAGCAACTTGCCAAGTTGATGAAGGCTAATTATTGCCCCACTAAATATATATTCATTTCATGAAATGAATAGGAAGACTAGGGCTAAAGAAAAAAAAAAGTAAAAAGGCAGTTATGTAAAATTTGGCCAAGAAGGAAGACCCAATCTAAATAGCTGTGAGCTGGCCCCCATATACTGTCCTGATTAATGAAAGTAAAGATTTTTTTTTATGGTGAAGTCAGTAATGCCACCTCAGCATATAGTTCTTTGCAAGTGTTTAAAGTCCTTGGAGAAACCAAAAATATTTCCTGGAACACCTTCTGCTTCAAAGCATATATCCAGCCACACAGCTCTGATTGTATTTAGTAAGATATTTGGGGGCTGGGGGGAGGCACAGTTTCTCTTAGAGGTCCAGAAGATTCACAAGGATAGCCTCAAGAATGCCAGGTTAGTGTGTCAGCAAACCTGCTTGTACCCCTCACCAGCTGTATGATGTTGGGCAAATCACACGACTACTTTCAGATTTCCTCACCCATAAACTTAGGGAGGTCAGACTGAACAAAGAGCCCCTTCCAACCTTCCAAGTCAATGATCGTGCTTGACAAGGTGTCTTACGTGACCAGGACTGGAATCAGTAATCTGAATTATTTTTGAAGAAATAAAAGCCACCTAACAAGCCTATGTGTCCTTTGCAATTTTGCCCCAAGAACATAGAAGCAGTTTGAATTCTGAGCCTAAGCAGTTTGAATTCTGAGCCTCTAAGCAAAATTTTCTTAAGGGCAAATTTTCCAAGTATTGTTCTCAGAGCATTGTTGCCATACACCCCATTTACAAGTGCCACAAGACTGCTGCTGTGTTGGGGAATGACCAGGACTGTCCCAGTGAATGCAGTTCAGATGTCCATCCTGCCCAAAGTCACTAGTTCTCTCCAAAGCCATATAAAGGGGGTTTTCACTTACATATCTCCAATCCTCCGTGTTTATTCAACCTATAGTCAGTGCTTGGTTCTCTCCCTTTCCCCTTTGGGTATGCAGGGAAGGCAGGTGGGGATTTGAAAGTGTGGCAAGTAGGTGTCCATCCAGGGTTCTGTAACAATTAACCTCTGTGTACTAAAGAGGGTGTGAAGCCATTTGCTGATGTACTGCTCAACCCATAACTCCAGTGTCTTATATGAATTCCGCCAGGTACATATACGTAAAGAGAAAAAATTGCATCTTTCTTGAATTGAGCCTCTCTTCCCTGTCTCAGCATCAAAGAGCCTTGGACATAGACTGCTACTGTCTAAATTGAACAGTATAACAGAAAAATAGCTGGCATCATGTAAAAAGGTACTCGTGGACAAAAGGACAAAATCACATTCATTTCATTGTGGTCAGTAGTTCGTTGGCTTGAAGTTTGTTTTGGTGTATTTGGAAGGTGGAAAGGAGTACTTCCTTCTAACTCCTGATCTTCATCTCATAGCAGACATAGCCGTGGTGCTGGGAGATTGGAATAAATAGGAATTTGCCTGAAATATACCATGAAACTCATACTTCATTTTCAAAAATGCTTAATAATTAGTATAACCTTAATAATGTATATATGTTCCTATATATAATTCCTAGCGATTGTAGTATATATAGCCTGCACACAGTGGTGGCTGGGAAGTAACAACCACCTCTCTGGAGGAGGGGTTCCAGTTTGCAGCATTTGCCAATTTCCATGGTATAAATGCTCCCACATGGCCAACTTCCATCTACCAATGCTTTAATAACTGGCATGCCAGATTTCTGAAAATTTAACTCTCGGTTCGCACAAACCACTTTACGTTAGATCCAGAACACAAAAACTTTTAAAAATCAGACTTGATTAAGTTACATAAGGATCTCCAAAGAGCTCAATCTAGAGCAAAAACATGTATTATTTATTTTTATAAATATACTGTTTTGGTGGCTTATGTGAAAATGTGGAACTACAGTCCCTGAAATATGAAAAGCTGCTAACAATATGCTATATAATCACAGTAAAATCTAATGATTTCACTGGATTGTCTGCAGGTAGTCTCAGGTAGGAAAATACTACTGTGAAAAAAAAAATTGTAGACAAAGCCTAAGGAGAAAAACAAAACCTGTATTTCTCTATATTTTCAACATATTAACTCTCTTTCAAGACTACCTTGCAGAAGCTAAGAAGTCTTGGTTGGTCCCTGTACAAAACATTACATTCATTCATAGTGTTTCTTTGGGGAAAAAAAAGGATGTTTGGGCATGGCTATAATGTGAACACTTTATCCATGTGTATTCCTCACCTTGATTTCATCCTTCCCACGGAATAATAAAATTCCAGTAACTGTCACGCCTAAACATACCACACTCCTCCCCACTCTTCCTTCCTCTCGCTGAACTGGTAAGGCCATACCTTGCAGAGTGAAGCATTCTCTTTTTGGAGGAAAGGAATAGAGTGGCTTTGATGTCCCAGTTGTGGGTCCCTGTCTTTCCCTCTGACTCCTATGGAGACATTCTTCATTTGAATATACATATTCATTCTCCTCCTTACCCACTGATCTCCTTAATTCATCTTTCATGCATTCCATTCTCTCTTTCTCATCATCTCCTGAATATGGAAGTGAAGAACAGCTTTAAATATGTATTGTTTATTGAGTATAAATGTTTGCATTTTATGTCTCATTCTTTAGTGTAAAAAAATTAAAACGCAAAGGCCAAGCCTTCTAAATTAAGTAGGTTTTATTTTTATCAACAAGTCAGTGGCTTTCCATAAAAAATAACATGTTGAAATTTAGCCTTGTAAGAAAAATGATGAAAACAGTATTTACACGGGAGGGATCCTTAAACACACACAGAAAAATGCTGAAAACGAAATGGGCAACAATGAAAAGAGGATATGAAAGTAGCAAAATGCATAAAGAATCAAATTATAGGTATAAATCTCCCATGGTTGAAATGTTTAAACTTAAATAAGAATAAAAAATTGTTAAATCAGTAATTTGTAATTCACTACAGTGGACTGTAATATATTTCTCACATCTCACTTAGAATATAACTAATTGACCAGACCACCTAAAGTCAGCTTCACAAACTTGCTGCAAATGCCCACATGAGGACACTGATGTCACTGTTTATCTGGGACCCAGCAAGTTCCTGAACACTGTTGCATGGGTCAAAATGGCCTCCACAGGAATCAGAAAATATTTAAAAGCATATGGTACAGTTAGTTCTTCCCACTTCACAAGCTAAATATCATGCTCAAATATTTTATGAGTCTGTGACTTGACAGAAAATGAAGTGAAAAATTCAGGCAAATTCTGCAAACAATTCAACCACATCCCCCAACCACACCCCAAAATTTCCACTTTTCTTGATATTTCAAGTGAAAATGTTTAAGTTGATTGATTCATCTTCAAAGTTACCTCTCAATTCTCTCTTCAGCTGGTACATACACATGGTTACAGAGACCTGTTCTAATGGCATATTAAGAAGCTGATTATCTAGAAAGAATACTATAGACTTAGTTGAAAACTGGGGGAAAGAGTTTAGGCTTTCCATTTCAAATTGTCATTGTATTCTAAATTTTATATTAAAAATAAATATTAAAAAACATAATTTCACAAATACTTTCATACTGTGTACCCAGCACTCCAAAAATATTACCTGGAAAAAAATTTTAAGAATTAATTATATTGGGGGCACCTGGGTGGCTCAGTCAGTTGAGCATCCAACTTCAGCTCAGGTCATAATCTCACAGTTTGTGGGTTTGAGCCCCATGTCAAGCTCCGTACTGACGGCTCAGAGCCTAGAGACTGCTTCGGATTCTGTGTCTCCCTCCGTCTCTGTCCCTCCCACACTTGCATTCTGTCTCTCTCTCAAAAATAAATAAATATTTAAAAATTAAAAAAAATTAATTGTATTGATTTCTTCACCATTTGTAACACTGTCTATGGTGTTATAATTGAGTGACTGAAGAGCAATTACAAGTATTATGGTTACCAGTGCCCTGGTTCATAGCAAAAAGTATACATATGCACCAAACACACACACTAATTACAGAATCAATTATACTCTGATGTTCATTGTATATGCAATAAGATAGCAGTTGCATGTTAGCTGATGCCATTCACATCTTCAACCAGCTAACAATACACTGCCAACCCATCACACACAGGAAACCAGTGCAGCTTGTTAGCAAGAAGAATTTATCCAGAAGCAAGTGGCAGGGTAGTTGTGGCTGCCACATTGACCCAAAGCAGCCAGCTAACAATACACTGCCTACCTGACTCAGGTCACTGCTGCTTTTCATGGCCCATGAAGTCACCGAAGCTACTGTATGCAATATGAAACACAGTAGCCGAACCGTAATCTTAATAGTCACAGGAAAGAAAACTCATAAATAAAACTTGTTACTCCAAAATTATTATAAAAAAAGAAAAATACTATTTTTAAATCTCAGCAAAAATTTAAATATATATATATATTTTTTAAATGTTTATTTATTTCTGAGACAGAGAGAGACAGAACATGAGCAGGGGAGGGGCAGAGAGAGAGGGAGACACAGAATCCGAAGCAGGCTCCAGGCTCTGAGCTTGTCAGCACAGAGCCCGACGCGGGGCTCGAACTCATGGACCGTGAGATCATGACCTGAGCCGAAGTCAGTCGCTCAACCGACTGAGCCACCCAGGCGTCCCAATCTCAGCAAATATTTAAAAAGACAAACTTTCAGAATACTTGCACTTAGCTGTTCCACAGTAAATGCTTGGATATCAAAATACGGTTTTGCAGTACAAGTGAATTAACAAAGTTATACTTAACTGTAGCTTTTCCAATTATTTCTCTTTACTGAGAAATATTTTCTCTTTACTGACCAAAAGACCAATTGTCTGTATTAGGCAGGAAAATATTTAGGAGTCATGGAAGTGCATAATTTTGGTGTAAAAGAAAACTGTAGCTATTTTGGAAGGAAAAAAATCACTATTAAAGTATTTAGGGACTTAAGTTGTCATTATTTTGTCCCCCATTATAATAACATTAGCCATTGCATTCTGAAAGGGCTGTTATGTGTTTGATTTACTGTGTCACCACTTAAATATTGCAAGATTTTTAAAAGATTAAGAAAAATCTGTAAAAATGTTAATGGGTTTGAAACTAGAATCTATGAGGAAAGTTTAAAGGAATAAGAACAATTTCGTGTAGAGAGAAGCAAGGTGAATGGTGATTATGAGAGATTTAAAGCATATGAGGGATGTTTATGTAGTAAAAATAAGAAAAACTCATTTATATTTGTTTTATTCTTACACTGATTAAGAGAGAAGCTACAGGCCTTGGCTTCAGACTTTGAAGGAGAAAAAGTAATACATCGGATCAATTTTAACGTGAGGATCGCCCTTGGATTAGGCCACTTCTCCCGATTATCCACAAGATGGCACCATTTCCATTTCTTTGGGGGGCAAGCTTTTAAATGCAACAGAGGAAAGTACAATTCGCAACTGTTAAAATGAAATAGTAACAGCCAGCTAGCATGCGCTGCCTACATCCAAGCTTCATCCTTTTCTGTTGAGCCAAAAACTAGAAAGCCCCATGGATATACAAACAATTCCTCTTGTCAGGGATCTTCAGTTTCTTATAGAAATGTGGGGGGAGGGTGTATAATTAGACTCTGCAGTTAGTGATATTTTAGGAGACTGATTTTTTAAATTTTCATATTCTTAGACCAGGCCGTCCTTCCAACAAGTACCTTCTTTAGGAAAAATTAGTTTGTTCAAAATCAGAATTAAGAGAACCACAGTAAGCACTAGACACTTACCTTGGGAGAACCTTGACTTCTCTTTTGCTTCATGTCTTTGGCGAGCACCCGCATGACGTTCTCCTTGGAAAATATATATAACATATGGAGAGAAAAATCATAATGTTAGGCGCGGAATGTTTCTAGATCCTCAGCTTGTCCAACCCCATTTACTCATTTTCTCTACCAGCCAGGCACCTCTAGAACACAACTAAATTACACATCGCAAAATGAAGGATCAGGGTTTAGAGTCTGTCCTACCTGTTGGTCCTCAGCGGGCAGAGTCCCCTTCAGGGAGTCGGGGCTGGGAAACAAAAGGACGTTACTCACCCACAGCATCTCTTCTTCCGTCCGGACCCTCCGCGGGGCGGTGCGCTCCAGTTTCCACTCCATCTCAGGAGGATTTTCCCCTGCCGGGTGTTCGGCCTCACCTCGATCGGCTCTGGTTTTCCCCCGGTCTAAGCCAGCCTTGACGCCTAATCGTCAAACCTCTACTCGCATCCCCCAGGACCATCATTTTTCGCTCTTAACCTCCATTTCCCCCATTCCTCCCACGGCTCCCAGAGAGTATTCCCCAGGGGACTGTTTAAAAAGCTGGCGGGGCGGCAGCGGGAGCGGGAATCCCCCTCTCCCGCTTCTCATTGGCCAGCGCTTTGGTGACGTCAGAGGTCGGGAGGGATTCCCCCCGGCGCGCCCCTCGGCCCGCCTCCACCTTCCAGCCCAGCCTCGCCGCCGCTTGCTCTTTGTCCGCGGAGGCGCGCACTGGAGCGCCAAGCTTTGCCGCGAGCCTTGGCGGGCCTGAGCTGGGCCCGGCGCCGAGGGCTGTCACGCCAGCAGGAGATGAGGGGGTTGGCGGGCGAAGAAGCGGGTTCTGTGAGTTCACGTTCTTTCCATTTGCGGGGGGGGTTGGGGGGGGTGGGGAGGAAGTTTTGTTACAACGGGACTTTCTCTCCGATGGTAATGGTGACCGTTTGTGTAAGCCATAGATATTAGACGTTTCCCCCCAACGTGTTCATCAGCTCGTGTTCCAATTTCAGATAGGCAGGGAAACGTGGCAAGAGTTCTGTGCTGATGAGAAGGGAGAGCATTGACATATGCACTCAATAAGTGCTTCTCTGCTGCAGCCATTTGGAAGTGGGCAGGTTCTCTCACTTGAGCTTCTGCGCTATCTTCCCAAACAAGAGTTGGTGAGCGAGGTGAAAGAGTTGGTGAAAGCTGGTGACAGGGAGCACCTCATGAGGAGTGAAGAGCCAGCAAGAAAGCTGAGCAGACTGGGGGCTAAGTAATAAAGGAGAGGATGATATTGGGGGTTAAGGGAGGGGGTTAGATGGAAATGACAAGGAGCCAGATGGGCTGTGTAGCCTTAGCGGCCCCACCTGAGCTGCCAAGAGAGGCTAGCTGTGCCATATGGCAGGAGGGAAAACCGTGTCTGGGAAGCTTCTGACAGTCAGCTTTTCCCTCCCCATAACCACCTCCCTACCTCCCCCCGTTTGACATAGGACTGCTTGTGCTCTCATGCAACATGTGCATTTGTGCAATTTACCCGGGAAGGGATTCATAGATATCACATACTCAGAAGGGTCAGTGATTTATAAACAAAACAACAACAAAAACTCTAAACTTACTCTCCTGTTTTCCTTCTTACTGAAAGCAAGAAAAATTGACATCAAGGCTGAGACCCAATCTTGGGACCAGTTTTCCATCTACAGTAATAAAGGTTAGGGAAAATGCTGCACAGGGTAACATAATCAAATGAGGCTTATCAAAATGCTTGATAGCCAAATGGATTGAAATATGAAGTTTCACCCACAAGAATTTCACCGCCTTACAGTGCATTGACTTACAATAAATCTTTTCAGCAAACACGGAGGCTAAATAAAGTGAGATATTGGCTGAGTTTCAACTGTATTGTTAATTTAAAGATCAGTTTTGCAAATGTCAGCTAAAATTAGCAGCATATTGGAAATAAAATCGAAGACTTTTTGTTCTATTTTTAAGTACCATTTTACTATACCATTTACCAGGGAAAGGATTCATAAATAACAGATCCTCAAAAGGGTCAGTGATGGGCACAAACACAGAAGTAATAAATCCAGTTCAATTAATGAGCTTCTAAGTCCATGTAAACTGTGATTTTAGAACCCATGCCCTTACAAGTATTAAGAATAAGAATAGTGTTTTATTCTTTTAGAATTCAGTTATCTGTAATGCATACATAAATTCCATTTTAGCCACTAATTCCACAGCATATCACGCAATCTCCAAATGCCTTTCCCCCCTAGGTTAAAGCAGTAAAAGTATTTTCCTTTAAAAAGTTATTGTGCATTTAAGTATTCATATTGAAATTTAGTAAGAATGATGGAAGTAGAAAAATCACCATGGCAAACACCTTAGTACTAACTGTTGCAGTCAAGGATCATGAATGGTAAAACTGAGGGTGTCTGCCTCCTATGACCCAATGCAAAAAGGAAAATCGTAACTTCTCATTGGACAAACCTGGCAGCCACCACCTCACCATTAAGGACACCATTTTAATTAACCTCACCATTAAGGACACATTGACATCTAGTGCCTCCTGATATGATGCACTAGAAAGGGCACAACATAACTTATTTAATATTTTTGCCCAAAACTGCATAACCTGAATTAATAATGAGAAAATACTAAACCAACCAAATTGAAGAACATTCACAAAATGGCGAGTAGTATTCTTCAAAAGTATAGTCATGAAAAAGAAAAATTGAGAAACTATCACCAATTAGAAGTATCTATGTAAAACATAACAATTAAATGCATTGTGAGATCCTGGATTGAATCCTGGACTGGAGTGAGGGGGAGGAACTATTGTTGTAGAAATCTGAATAATATCTGTAGATAGTGAACAGAGTAGTAGTAACGCTAATTTCCTACTTATAATCATTGTGTTATAGTTGTGTTAAATGCTAACATCTGGGGAAGCTGGGTGAAGGATATAATGGAATTATTTGTACCATTTGTGTAACATTTTTCTAAGTCAAAAATTATTTCAAATTAAGAAATTAATATCATGTGATCATATTAATAGGACATGGCACAACTGTTTAAGAGAAAATTGATATATCCTGTAAACATTTTATCTTAATATTTATCAAATACGGTTTAGGAATAGGGTCTAATTCATATATTTATGTGCCTGTGTGTGATTTACTATCTTCAAAGTGTTTCCTCCTTTGGAGAGGGTTTTGCAGGCAGATCTGTGATAAGGACCAGGGCTGTGAGGAAGGCTTCTCCACAAAAGCCAAGGCCATTTCCAACGGTGTCAAGGTGAAGGGGGGTAAGTGGTGAAGCAGTGAGAAGGGAGAAAGGCGTTTTTCTTGACTCCTATCTGGCCTGCGGTCTGAGTCTGGACAGGTCTCTACCCACGGGAAGCCAAGAGGAGAAACAAACTTGCCAAGTGCAGATTTTTTCAATGACATGATCACATTTTCTTCCTAAATAATAATGTTAAGAATCTCACATACACAATGCACCAAGTCAGCTCCCTTCATCCGCCCTCCCAGCTTTCTCCTTTCCCCAGAGCTCTGTCAGACCTTTTCCAATGCATTTACATACATACGTGTGTACTCAGTCTGACGCTGTGCATCTTCCTACGTAAATATGATCTTACTAATCGTTTTGCACCTTGCTTTTTCTACTTCGCTGTATTCAGTTGCAAACCGGAGAGCTTCCCCAGCCCCAGCTCCAACTGCCGGGTCTCACGCCCCTCTGGCCCGGCGTCTCCCGCTAGGCTTGCGCCCCCACCTGTGGTGCCAGCCCGCCCCGACTCGCGCCCCACCTCCCGCGCCAGCCAGACCACTTTGGCGCCCGCCTACCGGACAAAAGGGACCGTTGGAGTGCGCTCCAACCGTCCCTGGGGCACGTCCCCGCCAGGTGCGGGTAGGGGGTGGGGGGTAGGAGGGAGGTGCCTACCATTCAGGATCCATTCAGCTCCAGTCCAAGTAGGATGGGAAAGCCTGGATGCAGGGGAGAGTTTGGGGTAGCTGCACTGTGGTAGAGTCGGGAAGTTAGCTGTGAAGTTTGGGGAAAGAAAGGGAAGGAGACCATCATGTTCTGGACAGATAAACTGAGCGTGTCTGCTCCCAAACATATATAGCTCAAAATAGCACGTGGGAAGGAATAAATGAATCCCTTATAATTCAGGCTAGCAGCCGGGCTCGGAAAATAATTTGTAAAGATTCTACCAAATAAAAGCCTCAGTCAGAAGAGTAGTCAGTAAACTACCGTGTCACCTCTGGTCACAATGGACTTACCACTTTTTCAGTTATAAGTGGTTTTTGTACATGCCTATTTTTCGGTTACCGCCCGCTTCTAAGTACCGGGTCTGTCCTTATTAAAATATGTTCGTCCATGATACCCGAGCTAATGAGGGTGGAGGGTACAATTTACCCAGCTTAAAGCGTGAAATCTGAAGATCACTTCGCCTCCAACTATTCATCTTCTTTTATGCATTTTCCCCTTCTCTTTCTGCTTACGGCAGCTCTTGCGTAGGGTACTAACTAAAATAAGATACTTCTCCAGAATTGTAAGGAACGTAAGGAAAATACCAAACTGAAATCAGTACAACTCTGTATAAACTATGGATAAAGTGAGGTATATGAACATGGTACCCCCTCAAAGAGGGCTCATGAATGCTGTAGACTTAAAAATCCTTTTACTAGATATCCTAGCAGCACTTCAAACACAACATAATCCAAAACAGAATTAAGAATCCTTCTTATTCCTCCTCACCGCAAACAGCCTGTTTTCTGCCTGCTTGCACCCTGTTCCCAATATCCCTATCTGACTTGTGGAATAGAGTCAAAGTCAGCCTTCTTTAACACTTTCCCTTCCCATAAGATTACATCTGCCTTCTTCTTGAACTATTATTACAGTAACCTCATTGATAATTCAATATCTAGTCTATTCCCATTAATTCCATTTAACATGTTTATTAATGTTTATTATTAATAATATATTAATTATTATTAATATAATAATTATTGTTAATTATGATTAATTAATTTTTAATCTATTAATTATTAATATAATGTTTATAATTAATTAATAATGTTTATTATTAATTCCATTTAACATGTTTATTTGCACAGAACAAGTTCCATACAACATGTGAAGCAGTGAGGATCCAGTGGTAAAGCTATAAAAGGCACTATGCATTATCTTTACTGAATTGGATTTCTCCCCTGCCCCAAATCCCTACAAGGATTTCCTTACACACAGAATTAAGTTCCAAACTTTCTATCTGACATGCAAGCCCTCTACAATTCAACTTCCTCCTACCTTTCTTGCATCATCTGCGATGATACCACTAGTATATTCTGTTCCCCACAACGTAGGTGATGCCCAGCCCTCTCCTG